CAATGTTAGGGGCAGAGACACGCCAAGACTCGTAGCCCTACCTCCCCGCACCTGACTCCTGCAGGCCTTCACCCCAGCGTGTCCTGAGTCCACGCTTTCCTAACCCAAACTCAGGGCTTTTGCTTGCAATTCTTGCTCTGGAGGCAGGTTGGGTCCACTCTGCCATCTGACAGCCCCTAAGCCAGAGGCCCTCATCACAGCCCTGGCCCCCACCTGAGTCCTGTCTTGCCCGGGTGAATGTGGGGACCACCGGGCCCAGCCTCCCTGCCTCACCCCCCACAGGAGTCTCTCTTCCCAGCGAGAGTGGTCTATGACCTCCTGTTCTTCTTCATCGTCATCATCATCGTGCTGAACCTCATCTTTGGGGTAATCATCGACACCTTCGCTGACCTGCGTAGTGAGAAGCAGAAGAAGGAGGAGATTCTCAAGACGACATGCTTCATCTGTGGTGAGGGTTGCTTCCTGCTCTGCGGAGGCCGCAGCGGGGCTGGGACATCATCTGACGCCAGCGGCAGTGGCGGTTTGGCCCCTCCTGCCCTGGGGTATCCTGCCCTGGGGCTGATGATTTGATGCATTTGCTCATCCCAGAACTGGGGAGAACATGACCCTGCCTGAACTTGGAGTCAGAAGGGAGCGAGACAGGGCCATCCCTGTAAACCCCTGGGGTTTCTAGGCGAGGACTTGAGCCCAGACAGTGCCTGGAGCTTCTAGTCTCGGTCCAGTGCTTTTCCCACCCCTGAAACGAAGTGCTAGTCCCCTCACCAGCCACCTCAGGCTCAGGCAGATGTCACCTGTATGGCCTGTAGGACCTCGCTTATTCAGCCATTCATGCTTCCCCTGAGTTCGGGGAATTCTGGCGTTTACTACTAGAGTCCTCAGTTTCCGCTGCGGGAGGGCTGCAGCTGCGGCAGGGCAGGATCTCCACTAAGTGGCTGTTGCTTCAAATAGAAGTGACCCAAATAGCCCAGAGCAAGCTATTGGAAGCGCTCATCCTGAGAATAAATGCCTCCCCGCCCCCAAAGCTGGGTCCCCTCCAGCAGGTGGCCCTGCAGTGGCTCTTGATGGCTGATGGTTTCATTCCCGCCCTCTGCACCCTCAGGTCTGGAGAGGGACAAGTTTGATAACAAGACGGTGTCATTTGAGGAACACATCAAGCTGGAGCACAACATGTGGAACTACTTGTATTTCATTGTCCTGGTCCGTGTGAAGAACAAGACCGACTACACAGGCCCTGAGAGCTACGTGGCCCAGATGATCAAGGTGTGAGCAGGGGCTGCACCGGGCCTGTGGGCCCAAACCAGCCAGCCATTCTCGAGTCAACATCACTGTGCACCAGAGGCCTCATGGCTTTAGCTTCTGAGTGCCCTGGGCTCTGGCGAGGAGTGGCCACATCTGTCTGTCGGCCCTGGGAGGCCAGGGGAGGGGCTCGGACAGCTGCAGACACTTGCTGAAAGGTCAGCAGGGCGAGGAGCAGCAGCTGGAAGCAGCTCTGGGCTGCACGGGGGCCCTGCCGGGGGCCCGCTGCTGCAGAGGGGCCTCCTCCCACTTCTGGGTGTCAGGAAAAATCCCACAGCAAACCCATCAGCCCCAAAGAACGCGTGTGGTATCCCTGGGCCTGTGGTGCAGTGATGCTGAGGCGGGGTGGAGTCGGGGAGATCCTGTCTTGGCCAGTGATCTGTGGGCCGCTCTCAGGGAGTGTTTTCTAGCTTGGTGGGAAGGCAGGCTGCTTCCTAAAAAGTCTGAATTAGATGGTCCTGGGCTGAAGGGGAGCCAGGAAAAACTTTAAATATCATCTGTCCAATGTCTGTAATAATGGAGTGAAGACAATGAATCATAAAGAAGGAATTCTTTGTCGTTTAAGTCTGTATTTCGAGCTGATCTTTGTGTACAGGTTTATCTGCTGGTCTGAGAATTCACAGCTCACAAGGAAGCCGAGAACTGCTTAGTGCCCCTCCCTCCCCACTCCTCTGTCCTGGGAAACGTGGCTTTGCCTCCCAGGCACGTGTCAGATGCCAGCTTTCCTCAGCGGAGCCTCCCGCTCCCTCCGTTTGCCATCTGTCTAACTTGTGTCTTCCCGGGGCGTGGGGCGTGCTTGTCAGGCAGGCGGGCGGGAGGAAGGAAGGAAGGAGATCCAGGGTCTGTCTGGGTGCAGAGGCCTTCCTCCACCTCTCAGGGGGTGTTATGAAAGTAAACAGATGGTGCTGATACCAGCGAAGGACTCAAACTCAGCTGCCGACGCTGTCTAACGGAAGTCAGCCTGTCTCGGTGGCAGAGGGTTGACAGAGGGTTGACTGCCAGCTCACTCTGGCCCCAGGGAGGACCAGGTCAATTCAGATTTTCCCATGACACATCCCTGACGAGTAATTTTGTCAGGGGTGTGGCAGAAGCCTCCCCCATTACTCTAAATGAGGCCTTTCTGGGCTGGGCCCATGCCTGCTTACCCACTGGTGATGTTTTTCAGAACAAGAACCTGGACTGGTTCCCCCGGATGCGGGCCATGTCCCTTGTCAGCAACGAGGGCGAGGGGGAGCAGAATGAGATTCGGATTCTCCAGGACAAGCTCAACTCCACCATGAAGCTGGTGTCCCACCTCACTGCCCAGCTCAATGAGCTCAAGGAGCAGGTATGCACCCTGCTTGATCCCAGGCCCACCCTGGGCTCTATCCCTGGGCAGCCCCTGCCTGCCTTCATCCTTCCTGCCCCACCCTCTTCCCCACTGGCCTCTGGCCCTGGATGAGAAGGTAGGTTCCAAACCCACTCTCCCCTACATGGCAAGTCAGACTGGGGTTGACAACCCCTGCCTTGGGCCATTAAAGACAAGGCCAAGTGGAAACTTAGTACAGGGTGGTGGGGCCCTCTGTCTCTCATCCCCTTCCTCTTGCAGCTGCCAGGTAGGTCCTTTGAGGGGATTCCTGAGTTTAAGGCCTTCTTGCCTAGACATCCTCCTCTGCATCTGGCAGTGCCTGCATGAAGATGAGGCAGCCTGTTAGTGGGCTGGTTTCCCAGCTGCATCAGATCCGGGGTTTGTGACACGCTAATTGAGAACAAGGGTTTGGTGCTGACATCGACATCCTTAAAGCACCCCGAGGGGCCCTGGCCCACCGCCAGTGCTGAATAGCAGCTGGGCCCACAGAGGAAGACGGGCGCCAAGCCCTTCCACAGCACCCATGGAGAGAAGGTGCCAGGAGGCCTGACCGGGCCTGTTGGCATCTGCTTAACCCTAGATGACAGAGCAGCGGAAACGCAGGCAACGCCTAGGCTTTGTGGATGTCCAGAACTGCATGAGCCGCTGAGAAGAGCCACTGAAGGCCCCAGCAGGGGATGCTCATCACTGGAGACTGCGATTGTGAAGAACACTGCCCCCTCCCCCGGGTTGGGTGGCCCAGCCAGCTGGCCAGCCTCCACTCCCACTCTGCCAGACACCCCGACACCCACCCAGGCTTTCAACAGCATGGAGGGGGAGCCTCAGAGCTCACAGACCTGCTTAGAGCCCTTAAAAAAAAAAAAGACTTGAAAGTTCACTGGGACTCAGTTTACCTTAATGCCTTAGCAGAAGACAAATCCTACCTAGAGACCTTTGTCCCTTAAAGCAATAACTGACAACTCTTTGTAGTCCTCCTCATGGGTAGTTAAAAGTGGGGTCACCCCTTTATCTCCAAGCACTACATTTTGGCTGCTGCCGGCCTCTGGGGAGGTGGCAGTAATGCTGTTACTAGTGATTTTAGGGCTTTGTTATTTAACTTATTCCAAGGGTGCTGTGCTAAGCCCTGCCCATGGCTGTACAGCTCCCTCCGTGCCTCAGATCTGCTGTAGCCAGTGCAGACCTCACTGTCGTGTCCATGCCACCCTGGCATGGCTGTAGGTGGCCTGATGACTCCATGATGGACGATCTTGCTCCTGGGACCTGCCTCTTCCCAGGCTTCCTGGGGGAGAGTTGTATGCCCAGGCAAACAAGGGCTGAGCGGCGTTCGCATGGCTGTTTCATGACCGCTTGTTTTTCTCCTTTTGGTGTAATGTTTTACAAATCCTTTGGCCTGAGAACTAATATGTTAATTGCCTTAAATAAATTAATAGAAGTCTAGTCCGTTAAAAAGGGATGTGTTTCCTGCACTCCCCCGGGGCTGTGGGGATTAACAGGACACACTGGCAGAAGACAGGAACAAGAGTCCTTCCCTGCTGGCCTGGCCTCTCCTCAGGCTCTCGGGAGATGCACTGAGTGACATCGTGTCTCGGGTCCTCCCCTGAGATCTCCCTACCCAGAACTGCATTTAGGCATAACTAGTTTCTACTGCAGTCCTGTCGATTTTATTTTATGCATTTCAGAACATCCTGAGGAGTCTAGACACAGACGAGGTTGAGAACCCACTTCTAGTTTGTACCCACCAGGGGCGCTGTGGGCCCAGCCTGGTCCCTCACGGTTCCAGACAGAAGAATGCTCAACTAGGAAATTGAATGTGTCTATCAGTAAGAGCCAAAGTTCCATGGAATAATGAGGTGACCCTGTGTGTGTCCTTAGCCAGCAGGGCCTCTGACTTGTGGCCACCTACAGAACCTGCCCACAATGCTGAAGCCAACTGCAGCTGAGGCCCCGGCTGGCCAAGGCCTGTCTATAGCTTCCCTGTCCCTTAAGCCAATTGGGCAGTGTGGGTTTTTGCAAGGTCAGGGACAGAGGCCTGAGGTTCGTCCTCTGAGTCAGTGGGGATGAGGGCCAAGCAGGCTTTTTGCCTCTCTGGGCCTCACACTTCCCTGATGCTTTCTGTTTGCAACAGGATGCCCTTTTCAGTATTTACTGCTATTTTTGGCTTCCTCCCAGGAGCTCCTACAACAAAAGGGAGCCCGAGTATCTTGCCAGGAGGCACCAGACCCCTGCTGGAGGGGCGGGGGCTCCTGTGGTCCTGCAGGAAGCACCTTGTGCGGAGGCCCCATTACCTTCCCTTGTCAGGCCCAGAGGGAAACCTGCATTTCCTCTCCCCAGGAGATTTCCCTCCCCTGAGCAGCAGTCACAGCAGACAGCCCAATCGCCATCCCTTCTGAGGCTGAAACTTTCTTTAGAGCCTTTCTGGGAAGGCTAGAGGAGATTCCCAAACTGTAAGGTCACGGGGAAACTGGGGCAGTTTTATTGACGATGGCAATGTACAAGACTCCACACCTAGATACGTGGGCGAGGTAAGGCCTGAGCTCAGGCCTTATGATTCTCCTCAGGACCCTTGGAGGAAAACTTCTCCTGCAGTTTCTTCCACATGCTTTTATCCATTTCCTTAAGCTCTTCCAAGGTGTCTGCAAAAGGGAAAGACAAAAAGAGAGAGACAAGTCTAAAACTTGATGACGTAGATTGGACCCACGGGGCTTTCCCGACACAAGCATGCCCTGCTTTTCACACAGTGTGTTCCTGAAAAAGGGAAGTGTAGACCCAGCTTCTGAGGAGCAGATCAAACAGGGTAACAGAAGTGACCACTCACGGTGACTGAGCACTGTGTGCCAGGCTGTGTGCCCAGCACGCTCTCAGTGGTTTCTTGCCCTCTCCTCACCCTTGGCATCAAAGCAGGGTGTGCTGCTTGTTGCCCTGCTCCATATGAGGGCAAATAAATGGCCCTGAGCTGTCTGCTGTGCAACCCACAGGCCCAGATGGTCCATCGCAAAATTTGGCCTGCTCCACACAGGCCTGTCTCATTTTCAGGTGTGGAAACTGAGGCAGGAGGCGGTGAAGTAACTTGCTCAGTTTGCACAGCTGGGAAGTGGAGCAGGGATTTGAATCCTGGCGTGCAGGTCCAGCACATGCTGTGGAATTAAGCAGGCACTGAGAGAGGGATGGACTTAGGCCTGAATCCCAGCCCATTGTCTCCCACTGTGGGTCCCCTCCCACTGTGGGTCCCCTCAAGCACATTACTCAACCCTCTATACTTCGGGTTCCTCATCTGTAAAATGAAGATAAAAACACACATCTGCAGACAACTTGGGGAGAGGTGAAAAAGAAAGAAAGAAAAAAAAACACATGTACCTCCAAAGTTGTAAGGATTAAAGAAAATCATGGAAGTAACTTGCTTGGCACACAGCCTGCACTCAATGAAAAGGCAGCCATCTCCACCACAGTGCGGGTGGGAGGGGCTTTTGTTTAAGAAAATACACGTCCCCACACCCAGGAACCAAAGCAGGGTTTCTTGGCCTTGGCACTACCAACACTTTGGGCCAGATAATTTTTCGTTGTGGGCTGGCCTGTGCATCATCGAAGGCTGTTTTGAAGCATCCCAGCCTCTACCCACTAATGCCAGTAGCACCGCTGCCCCCACCACCAGTTGTGACAACTAAAAATGTCTCCAGAGATTGCCACATGTCTCCTGGGAGGCAAAATCACCCCCAGTACGGAACCATTTTTCTGAAGTCTCTAGGGCTAATGTTCCATGAAATCTAATTTTACGTATATGTTAAATTTTAGATATTCTTATAATATTGTTTTGCTTGCCTGGCCTGAATTTTCACGTTAACAAAACTACCGGAGAAAAGAGTATCTTTTCTGACCAAGAAAGGTGACAGAAAAAAGCCCCTGCTCTGGCGCTTTTCCGGAAGTCCACGTTTCCAGTGTCCAGGTGGACATTGAGGGACACTGTCCATCTCCAAGCCCTGAGGCCTCCCTAAGGCGCTTTCCATGACACCAGTCCCAGGGTGGACACACATGTGACCCAGAACACAGCACATTTCAGACTCGCCAGGCCCTCAAAGCCTCTCGCTACAAGGTGCTGCAGGTCTTTTCTTGTCCTGTCAGAGGAAACATTTGGTAAGCTTACGCCACACAATTTGCAACAAAAATACGAGGCTTGCTGTGAAAACAAATTCTCAGCAAATTTCCTGGAACTAAACTTGCAGCCAGAACAAGCTGCAGCGTGGACCAATGGCGGGACTATCTCCTAGCCTTCGTTGCTGCCTGTTTTCCACTTGCAGAGGCTGCCCTGAGGTGAACAACATAGAGGGCAGAAGCAGGGCCTCTGGAACTTATTTCCACCCTCACTTCAAGTTCAAACTTTGCTCAAACTGTCCAGGGCCCTCACGATAACGTGCATCAATGCTGCTAATTAGACGGACCCAGGGATAGAAGAGTAAATTTACACATTAAAAAAATCGCCAATAAAGTGATTTTGCCTGGCCAAAATATCTTCACCCATTTTCCCAGAGAGTACTGGAATAAAAACAGGGTTAGAGTTGACATGTAATAGCAGGTGACACCACCAGGTTTTAATCTCAGAAGATGGTTTTCTAGAAGCCCAAATCCTCAAAACTAAGTTGCTGAAGGCTGCCAGAAGAAGAGGAAAGACATATTTCTAGAATACCAGAAGGAAATGTGTCAGGGCCATGCCCTTCCAGAAAAGGTTAGCCTATTTTTGTATATAATATACTTGGCAACAAAAATAGTAATTTTCCAGTACCTGCCTGCTTCAGCCCTGGCTCTCTGGCCCCCCTCCTTAGGGACAATGGAGATAGGGAATTAAGGAAAGGACAGGCTTGGCAGGATGTTTCCTTTCTTGTTAATCAGAGTCTATCAATGACTCTAAAACATACCTAGTTCAACTCATATCTAACCCACAGACCACGTCCCCTGGGTCAGATAACTCTTAGGCGGATATCCCCAAACACGTTTATTGAATGGCTTTTTGTTTTAATTAAAACCTTCATTGTTTATAAAGCCCCCTTAGGACCATAAAAATAAAATAATTTTCCTTCCATCCTGATTTCAACTACTTCCATTTGGCAAATATGTAGTCCCCCTGTTCCCTGCTGCCCAGCCTTGAATTTAAAAGCACTAAAGATAGATTTTCTTTTTTAAATAACACCTTTGACCTTCTCCACAGTATATGGTCAAAATGCATGAGCCCTGTAGCTTCAGAATTTCCTCTGGGCTGTTCTACAAGACTTTCCATCAAGCAAAGCTGCCTTCTTAGACAATTCCCCTTGGCCACTCAAACTCAGTCATTTGCAAACCAATGAGAAAAGGCAGCTGTGCTTTCATTACCTGTGGACAGGATCAGCTTGTACTCTTCCAATGACAGGCCACTGAAGCTGGTGTCTCTGGGGCGAGGGTACTGGTCACCGGGGCAGAAAGGAAGTGAAGGGAGGAGAGAGATCAGTCCACAAGCCCTGCTCTGACTGCATTTCATCTGGGCCCTAGGCAACCAGAGGCCAGGCCTAGCAAGAAGAGCAGCGCCACCTTGAGGTTAAGACTTGGCCTCACAAGAACCAGTACAGTCTCCAGCAGGCAGCTCCAACTTTAATGTACCCATGAGTCCTCCCTGGAAAAGGCAGGTATGGGTGGGGCCCCTGATTTGCTTTTCTAACCAGCTCCCAGGTGATGCCCATGCTGCTGCTCATGGATCACATGTTAGTAGGGAGGATTTAGAAAAAATCCATCTTCCACATAGGCATATGGCCACGTTTGTGGAGTTACTGAACACATTTTTCAAGTATGGGAAAAACCACTCTAAATGGAATTTGACAGTAATCATGTTGGGGCCCAGCTCCAGAAAGGACGGCACTTTCCCAATCATCCCACCTTTATCACCAGAGTGTGGGGAGGTGTCAGTTCCATCAGAGTGAATGGGAAAATTGGTATAAATCCAATGGCTGTCAGACACTCCCAGGAGCACACACTGGCATATCAAATACATGGCTTCTATTCATAATTGGTTTTCTTTGTTTCTTCCCTTTTCCCTGTATTCACAATTTTAAACAGCTTTTATTTAGGTGGTGTAAAAGCCTCTACCAGGCACCTCTGTTGGCTTGGTTGAAATTACTGGTTTCATTTGAAAGCAGCAAAGCCAATTCTTTACAAAACATTACATAATCAGATTTTCACTCATTCTTATTAGTTGTCCTGTCAGAAAGCTGGGGATATAAAAGACTGTGGCCCACTCACCTTGTGTTTGTAGTAGTTTGAATGGAGTCGCGCTAAGCTCTCGTACATCTGATCACAGGCCTCAGGCTCTGCAACCTGAAAAGCAAAGAACCCCCAAGGAGGTGAGCAAAGGAGTCCTGCCTCCCACAGTGTCTGTACCTCGAGGAAAGACCATACTTAATAAGGCATTCACATGAAGCAGGCCTGCAGCTAGCACTGGCTTCTCCACTCTGCGGGAAGCAAACCTGGACTATAGCTCTGCTATTAGAAACTACTTTTTGGAGGCATAGCTCTGCCTCATCAACTCCCCAACCTGCAGAAAAATCAGATTAATCAGCAAACAAGCATTTGTGGAGCATCTGTGACTTGTGAGCCACGACACCAGCTGCAGTGAGAGATGCCACAATAGAAATGTAAGGTTGGAAAGGCGTGCCTAACAAAGGGGGTGCTGGGCAGAGTGGGCTACAGGGACTCAGTGGGGGAGTCCCCACATGTTCAAGTGGTCAGTGCATGATGGAAGTGAGACGACGCTAGGTTCTGAAAGAAGCACAGGGGTCAGCGAGCAGAAGGGAGAAGGGCAGGCCTTCCTGGGGGAGGAGATGCTGTCAGCGAGGAGGAGGAGGCAGGAATCCTCTGGGATGCTTCAGGCCAGACCAGTAGATTCTTTTTTTCTTTTTTCTTTTTTTGAGACAGAGTCTTACTCTACTGCCCAGGCTACAGTGCAGTGGCACAATCTTGGCTCACTGCAACCTCCGCCTCCTGGGTTCAAGTAATTCTCCAGCCTCAGCCTCCCGAGTAGCTGGGATTAAAGGCATGTGCCACCACACTCAGCTAATTTTTGTATTTTTTAGTAGAGACAGGGTTTCACCATGTTGGCCAGGCTGGTTTCGAACTCCTGACCTCAAGTGATCTGCCTGCCTCAGCCTCCCAGTGCTGGGGTTATAGGCGTGAGCCACCATGCCCAGCCTCAGACCAACAAAATCTTTTAGCAAAGGCAAAAAAAAAAAAAAACCAAAAAAATCACCTGAGTTTTCATCTGTGATAAGTGGGGAGCTGCTGAAACTCTACAAGAAGGGAAGAAACATGAAGGCAGCAACATTTAAGATAAAATGGGTAAACTGAGGAGAACCAAGATGGGACCACAGTTAGGTCCTGCTAGAAAGGAGATGGCCCAGAACCCTGAGGCGTTGCCATAGAAAGGGGGATATAAGTAAATTCTCTGGTGCCAGAGACAGCGATGCCCCGATGGGCATTCTCTGGAAGACGCAGCATACAGAGGAGGTGTGGTCAGGAAGACAGACAGCATACAGAGGAGGCGTGGTCAGGAAGACAGGCGGCATACAGAGGAGGCGTGGTCAGGAAGACAGACAGCATACAGAGGAGGCGTGGTCAGGAAGACAGGCGGCATACAGAGGAGGCGTGGTCAGGAAGACAGACGGCATACAGAGGAGGCGTGGTCAGGAAGACAGGCGGCATACAGAGGAGGCGTGGTCAGGAAGACAGGCGGCATACAGAGGAGGTGTGGTCAGGAAGACAGACAGCATACAGAGGAGGCGTGGTCACGAAGACAGGCGGCATACAGAGGAGGCGTGGTCTCTTCCCTCTAGTTCGAACTTTCCCTTTACTCTGTCCTTGCTATTACTTATGTATAATTCTTTAAATTTTTCTGCCAAGAATTTTGAAAAGCTCCCCAGAACAAAACTTTCTCTTTTACATTTTTTTCCCCCAAAATTCAAATGATGGATTTTTTCCTAACTTAAATCCTTCCTTGGAGAAGGCAGAGCATAAATAAATCAGTAGTAAAGAAGCTTAATAGGCAGCTCCACTGCTGCCTCTCTGTGCATGTCAAATGAGGTCCCTACTTTACAGCAAACAAAAAAGACAATCCATCATTTAGTTCTACCTGACTCATTCCTGGGTTCAGGCTACTCATCATGAGAACAGCTAGATACATCAGAAGAGGAAGGATTATGGCCTGAAGAGGTGGCCAGTGTTTGCTGAATAATAATCAACGTCATTATCTGAGTGGACAGAATGAATGGAAAAGGATGAGGCTGGTGCCTCCCTGCTGCCGGACAGCTCTTCCAGGGAAAGTCCTGCTAGAATGGACTTCTGCACACATCTGGACGAACACATCTGGAATACTTCTTCAGCAGGGCATGCATAGCCAAAAGCTAACGCTGGAGTGCAGTGGCGCGATCTCAGCTCACTGCAACCTCCGCCTCCCGGGTTCAAGTGATTCTCCTGCCTCAGCCTCCCAAGTAGCTAGGATTACAGGCACCCACCACTACACCCAGTTAATTTTGTGTATTTTTAGAAGAGACAGGCTTTCACCATGTTGGCCAGGCTGGTCTCGAACTCCTGACCTTGTGATTTGCCCGCCTTGGCCTCCCAAAGTGTGCTCACTTATAAATTTAACAGGCATTCACTGAGACCCTAGAGCATGCTTGGCCCATCCATGAGCAGGGGATGCTTGGGTGAATGAGTACCTCCAAGGCTGTAGGCAGAAGTGGAGCCAAACTGTCTGGGTTGAATCCTGGCACCATCCCTTATCAGCTATGTGATGTCAGGCAAACCATTCACTCTTCCCCCATGAAACACACTTAAAAAAAAAAAGTTGCCAGTTTATCTTTCTCTGTATCTGTACATACGTATCTTTCTTCTGATCCACTTGAAAGTAGAAGCATAATGCCCCTTCACCCCATATTTCATTGTGCATTTCCTAAGAAGAATATTCTCTTATATAACCACAGTACAGTGATCAAATTCAGGCCACTTAACATCGATACAACATTATTATCTAATGCACAGTCCATATTCCAATTCTGTCAATTGTCTCAATAATAATCTAAGGAAAAACAGGATGTCCTGCTGCATGTAACAGTCATGTATCTTTTAGTCTCTTTTAATCCGGGACAGTTCCTCGGTCTTTGTCTTTCATGCATTGAACATTTTTGAAGCATACTGGCCAACTTAACCTTTCTTTTAAAAGAAAATATAATAATAGCCCCTACTTCCCAGGGTGGTGTGAGGATAAATGATGTAATGCTTGGGCTGCTCTGAATTCCAGGCCTGGAACACCGATAAATGTGAGTGATTAGTTTTTCTTACAGTTATTAGTAGTAAAGAGTTGTAGTAAACACAGGCCCCTGTCTCACAAAGTAAGAGGGGAAAGGACAGAACGGTTTAGGACCACCCTGGTGAGAGTGGAACGAAGGGGCATGTACGAGGTGCTATGGGCCTGCGGGGCCAGGCAGGAAGTGCTGGAGAATGAGCGGCTGAGGATGGGTGCATGTAACAGCAAGGGAGTGGGGGCGCTCCAGGCACAGGACCAAGTGGAGCCCGTGCCCAGGGAATGGGTCAGCATGTTATCAGTGGATCAGCATGGCTGGTGTGCACTGCAGATGATGGCGCTGGAAACGGAAGTGAGGACAGATGAGAAACTGCTGAGGCTTCACTCCTGACTGACGCTGGTGGCTCTCAGCGGTCACTGAGCACTCCATGGTCTGCCAAGAGAGCAGTTGTCTGCTGTACCCGGTCTTCACCTGATGGCCGCTTATCTGGACCCTCCCATCCTGCCACCATCCCCACCACCTTCCCAACTAAGCTCTTAGGAAAGGAGTCCACACGCTGATTTGCCTTCCTCCCATAGCCTCTGCCTCTCTCCTGGGCTCCTAACACTGCTTCCTGATAAACCTGCATTCCAACCAGATCCTCACCCTCAAACACCTTGTCAACTCAAGTTCCTGCTCCAACTCTCTAGCAGTGAGAAGTCACCAGTAGGCTGCTCAGCAACCTTGTATCATACCCTCAAGCAGGTGTGCTATAAAGTGCTGTCCTTCCTTGCCACCTAGTCCCATCTCTGATGGGCAGCAGGACAGACAGGAGGGGCACAAGGGACGGGTCACCCTTGCAGAGTGCTGCTCCTGTAAGAGCAAAGTGCACAAAGTCTAAGTGCAAAAAGCAAAGTGACGCTCAGGTACTCTCACCTCTTAAGCTTCCTCTGTGTGAAAGAGACAGTCTCCTAGAGAGTTCCCAGAAGTCCTGGACTCAATTGTAATCCGAGAAAGAAAACCAAACACCTGAGTCCTAAAACAGACTTGCCACCCAGTTTCCTGTTTGAGGTCAGAAGGTGTCTGAGGCTGTAAAAGCAACTCAGTGGAGGTGACAGGAGTTTGAGATATACCCATTTCTAGCAAGTTCTTACTGCCTGAGGAGTGATGAAGCCTTGATCAATGCTGGGTTCCTAGCCACAGATAACTCAAGCTCAGCAATTAAAAAAGTCATCCTTAAAAGGATGTCAGTGGAGACATGTGTCAAATTCCAGAAGCCTCACCACGTTCCTATAGCTTACACTTTATTCACAGACTCCAGCACTAACATTCCTGAGTTCTGAAATGCAGTTTTTCTGATGAAATGGACTGTGCATTTTTAGAAATATTCTTAATACAAGCTTTAAATTACCTGATTTTGCATTCATACCTAATGAGATCATGGACGTTTTAGGACTAATAGCAGTGCTGGGTTTGAAAAAGGCAGCAGTGGGGACATTATGAAAAATTCAGCACTGCTCCCCAAATGTGAATAAAATAGATGTTCATCTGACGAGTGTCCTTTATAGCTCTATTTTTGCTCCTTTTGCATTTCCCCTGCTCAGTCGTCAGTAAATTTCTCTTTACCATATTAAACTTTTATACATACAAATCTACATCGGTGCCGCAGGCACTGATTTCGATTTTCCAAATTGAATTTTGGGTGGTGACAGCAATTGGTACAGCGGCCCCTATTCTAGTCACACAAAGGGACGCATAAGCACTTTTGGGAAAGGGTGTTGCAAATTGCTTTGCTAATTAAGGTAGAGCTGGATTCAGTCCAGGAGGATCTATAAAAAAAGGCCTTCAAGACTTGGTAATGAACTTCTGAAATGAGTTCATTCTGTTATGGGAGCCTATTCCCTTCAATTGAGTTGAAAATGTATTTCTTGAGCACCTACTATAGAGAGAGTGCCCCACTAGGGGACTGTGAGGGGCCATAAAGAAGACGACCCAGGCCAGCTGTGGAGAAGCTGGCAGGCACACTGCAGAGACAAGATACAC